ACAGACATTCCGCTGTGCCATTGGGGGGCTAAACATAGAAAGGTTAGGAAAAAGATATTATATGTATATCGAGTTAAATGAACAGGATTCATTACTGGTCATTGTTGTAATATTTCTCCTAATAGATTTTGCAGGAATTTTATTTTTTGTTTGTAGTTAAGCACAAAGCTACACAAAGGGCTATCTGTGCTCTGTCCACCACGGGTATCGAAACCCGGATTCTAGCGTTGTAACTCCACAGACATACCGCTGGGCCACTGGAGGGCATTGCAGGAAAATATAGATGTCAATAGCTGAATATCTAATATTTTCATGCTATGTATGGAAAGCGTATCCGTCGTACATATTAATATTATATACAAAATTTTGTGTTCCTGTTGCGTATGTGGAAACAATATTATTTCCAAAACATGAAAATACTGTTTCAACAAAAGCAAACCTTTAGGTGAGAGTGAAAATTAGTGTTATAAACCTTTCTTTTCCGTAAAAATTCACTAACTAAACACACATTTTAGTTTTTCCAACAGAGGAATAGAAAACAGCTCTACTAATCTTTCCCACGTAAACTTTATTCTACTATTGCCCTGATTGTTTTCCTCTAGTTCTACTAAAGTTTTAATACATTATGAATATACCACTCATGAGAATGATCTTATCACTTTTCGAAAACGGTATAATGTGCCTGAGTGAGTGTAATTCTTATTATTTTGTTGTTGAAATATGTTAATATCTATTGCCAAAGAAGATATAAATCGTTAGATATATTTATTATCCAGTTTTTAACTGAAAGTTGCCTCAGTTGTGTGATCGATTAGGCTGCCATCTGTTAGTGACAAAAGTAGACTTCATGCAAAAAAGGAATAAAAAAAAATTAATGTTCTTTAAATACTTTATAAAAGTGAAGAATTGTTTGTAAATTAAAGAATTTCAAGTTTTTATGACTTAAAAGTAACAAAAATTGGTATAATTTCACATAGTATAAATTAATTCACAATGTATGAGTGAGATCATAAGATATGCCATTTTTAAGAACTTGAAAGTAAAATATTTTCAGAAATTACTTTTATATTTTACTTTGTTTTACATTTTTCTTTAACACAAAATATATTGGATCTCTAGAATACAGCTATTATGTGTTTATATCATTGAAACTATTTCTTTGAAACAGACTAAAAATAATTTAAAATCCAAGGCTTACTAACTACTACATAAACAAGTTGCATAATATTTTATTTCGCTTTCCAGTGTGTTATGAAATCCTAATACTGTTTTTGTTTTTGGATGCGAATATGAGATTTTCCAAGTTAAAACAAAACGAGTATAAAAATCCTTGTATAGTTACTTATTCTTATAAATCATTGAGCCACGAGTAGCCTATTAGTTAATGTGCTGAACTATGAGTCTGAGGGTCCAAAGTTTGTGTTTTCTTGTCGCAGAAACACCGACGGTAGTTTGTGGTCGTGGGTTTGTTATATTCTATAACAGTAGCCTAAGACTTGGCGGTAGGTGCTGTTGACTAGTTTCCTTCCCTGTAGCCATTCACTTTAAAATTAGGGACGGCTAACGTTCTTTAAGCGAATTTTTGAATCAAACAATATAAACGATTAATTTTTATAGCTGACAAAATCCATTCAAGAAATTTAATACCAACTGATATAAACAGAAATGTCGTAAAAAATGTGTCCTAATTTCGAAGTTTGAATTTATATACTGGTTTCGAAATACAGTATAATAATCTTTTTGTCCTTTATTTTGATTTTATGATCTCTTTTGTAGTTGAAAAGTTATTCCTGATTTATTATTGGAATTTAATCTCATACAAAGTGGATATTAAAAGTTGTTATCTTTTCTACTTTTGTTACAGTTTTCTAAAAACTGGACCTGCCAGTAGACCAGCAATAAGCTCACCTCTAAAATCCTTGGTTCGATTTCCCATGGTAAACAGAGCACAGATACCTTGCTGTATAGCTGTGGCCTAAGACAAACAAGCTCCCAAAATTTAAATTTATAATTCATCGGAAAAGTCTTGATATGAAATAAATAAATAACTTGACTTCCTTTGTGAAAGTGAATGAAAGTAAGTGGTATACGGTTAAACAAAGGGGTTCTACCTTCTTATTATATATACTAGTTTCACTATTGTATGTTGGTCAAGGGAGCTACTCAGGTCCTCTATCCTGAATTACGTACTAAACTGTATCATTAAACTAAGGTGTCAGATGCACTTTCTTGTGTTTTGTTTGTAGTTAAGCACAAAACTATACAAAGGGCTATCTGTGCTCTGCCCACTACGGGTATCGAAACCCGGTTTCTAGGGTTGTAAGTCTGCAGACATACCGCTATGCCACTGGGGGCATCTTATGCTAAACATTACTGTAAAATGAGGCATAATGTATAAAACAGACAGTGATATTATTGACAAGTTAGGCGATATTTCAAGAGTACAACATGCCTTATTTTGCAGGAAGAGTGACTGTCAGTCACGTGGGTAATGTTTGCGTTCTGAGAGCTTTGAAACCAAGAAATATTTGATGGAGAAAACTCCAAGTTTTGAGAATAACAGGTTGTTAATTGATAAGTTGTTGATTCCGTTCAAAATGAGATCGCCAGTTTTGTTTTCTAAGCGAAAAAACTGAG